TACTTTCACTAAGCGAAAAGAAAAACGCAGCAATATATATAGGGCTTAAATGACATTTAAGCCATTGATTAGCATTTTGGAAGATAAGACCAGTGAGATAAAAACTTAAGCTACCACTCTGCTGAGCTGGAAACTAATCAAAACTGAATTTACTCTAATTTAATTAGTTAAATTAAGTTAATGGTAATTTATTCAAATAAATTTGTTCCCAACTTGGCAGCTGCTTTGGGAGTTTGGAATTTCCATTTTGGCTAAATTACGTACAGTTTATCCGTACTAACTTACACCACATATCAACCGAATATTCGGATAATTCTGGCTATTTGGACTATTCTTTATTTGTCTGTTATGTCCTCTTTCAATGCAATAAAAATGAGATAAATTACACTTTTCGCGCATTGTATTTTATTTTAAAAGAGATTAAGTAACCAAAAAAAATGTTTTATATTTTATTCTCCCTCAAATCAAATAAAAAGAGCGAAGCACATTTTTTGACAAAATTAAAATAATGACAAAATTTAAAAATGACAAAAAAGCAATAAAATGAACGTTTATTTACTCTAATGATAAAACTGAACATCTAATTTTGTTTTTATCTCTTATTCAATCTTTGAAATAATTAAACAAAATGCTTTTTCTTATTTGCGTGCAAAAACTTTTAACATTTTTTGTTCAACTAAAATTATATTAAGAGTTTAGATTTTATCTAGGCAAAGTAAAAAAAAATTAATATATAATGCATATTATAAAGTTCTAACAGTTTAAAGAACACCTTTAAAGAACTTTGTAAAATATACGTATTTAATGTATGTAATGTATTTAATGTACAGCAAACTAAGCTCTGTGCTAACTAGGAAGGAATTGGATTGGACTATTTAATTATGGCAAAGCACACGAGGGCTATTTGCCTAAAGGGAGGGATGCCTTCGTGAAGGACTTTCTAAGGAAAACTGGCTTGTATACACGTAATACATTCTAACTAGAAAGGAAGATATGCCTTTCTGCCTAAGAAATAATATAGTAACTACACTAATGCTATTAATAATACCAAGTCCTTCAGATAATCCCAAGATATATTTAGCAAAAATTAATATTAATTAAATATTAGCAAAAATCTCAACATATGCATACGTTGAAGCGTTCATGCTAAAAAATGAATATTAAGTTTTATAGCACTTTCTCACGAATTAACTGCTCTTTCAGTTTTGCTCTTCAGATTCCTGAAAAACAGTTCTTATGCATTAAGATAATTAATAAGAAAACGTGACTCTATATATGAATGAATAAGTTAGTTAACCTCTTGAAAATTTTCAAATATAAGGAATTTTTAATTTTTTAACGTTATTTTAAGCGGTACTTAGTACATTTTAAACACAATTAATTTCATGTTATCTTTCCGGTAATTACAAGGTAATCTTCTGATAAACGACAGTGTCAAGCACACAAAAATGGTAATGAATTCTCTTCCGAGTGATAATAGAACATGAAAATTTAAACTTATAAAGTACAAGGTAATTTTAACTAAAGTAATCCAGGATTATGTAATACAACTTGTTATGAAATATTTCGTTCGTATTAAAGTTACTTCAAAAACATCGCTTATGTATAGTACCTATAATTAACTTAGCAGCAAATAAGGAATTTTAATCCAAAATGTTATTTTCTTGTATTCATACATGTAGTTTGGAACGAACTCAAAATAAGTGCTTATAATGCTTCAAGCTCGACATGAGATAAACATAAGCGTCTGATGAGTATGTGCAAATAAGGCGAATGTGCCATTGTACTGAGTGCACATTGTTAATATACTCATTTCTTTAAAAAATAAATTAACTGCTAAAACTCTTTACCTTAATTCCTACTAAAATCTACTAAACTTTGGTACAATTAATTACTTAATAGTGTAGATGTTTTCAATATTGTCAGTATATCAAGCGTACACATTAGTGTGGGTTATGGTTTAACATAAGATAAAATATCTGATGTAGACACCACATGACTTCCTTGCACGGCGTATTAAATTATACGCATTTTTTGCTGCATTTCATTTAAAATTTTTACTCGAATTTCATTACTGATATATTTCCCATTTAATAAATTCAGTTCTCATTACGTGGCAAGCCAAAAGAAAATAAAATTCAAAGTATTATTAAAAATTGTACATTCCAGAAGAACCTAAAACACCAAATACAGTTAGAAACAGTTTTTAAAAAAAATTGTTAAAATTAAAATTTCTACGCAAGAACAAACATATGGACAACGTGCAAGAAGTCCAAATTTACGGTGCACCAAATTGAAAATTCCGGCTGTGCAAAAAGACACTGCAGTTAATGCACCAAATGATTTAATTCACTGTTCTACTAAGAGCTTCAAATGTTAACAAATTGCAGTCTCGTTTGGCGTAAGCCACTTAAACTTTTAGTCTATTGATAATTCTAAAACTACTTCATTCACATTAATCAAGGCATAAAAATCCTAACCGTAACAAAGAACAACATAATTCAACCACTTTTAAAGCAAAAAATGCATAATTTAACAACATATAAGAATAAAAATACTGGGCTTATCTTGCAGGGTATTAACAGGGTAGTCATATATATTTGAAGCTGATTGCAATGAAAAAGGGAGGTGCACAACTACATGCTATAGCAGTCCCATATACAAAATTTGAACATTCTACGGCTATTCGTTTTGGATTTACGCGAAATACATACATACGTTCGTAGATACGTCACGAAAACGTGTCCTCTGAATCTGTTTTATAGCCTGTTTTGGAAAAAATTCTGTCAGTACGTTTTTATTCTGTCTTTTATTCTGTCCATACGCCCAGATGTTATGCAAAAGAATCATTCAAATAGATTTGAGAGCGGTCAAAATGGATATTTTCGTTGAAATATGATACCTGAAATTTTTTGCTATTACAATACTTCTTTTACTTCGTACAAGGAAGTAAAAACGCAAGCTGTCTGAAAACTGGAGTTAAAATAATTTGCGATTTATTGTGCTGTAAGAAGGATATTTTCAATTAATAAATAGGAATTTTTAATAAAATACTGAGCAACTTTATTATCTGCTGCTAAATAGCCAATCGAGAATAGCTGTAGAAAGAAATTAAATTATAATTATAGATTTTGTTACTAAAAAATGAAGAACGTTTGATCCTTTAAATACATTAACATTTGGAAAACTGCCAGAGTTAAATCAATATTTGGTTATTATTCAGCAAAAAACTGATTAGTTCACTTCACAGAATCTTTTTTTATTTATTTAAGAGCAAATAATATTTTGCGTAAGCACATCATTTCAAAATTCAATAAATTTTTTCGAAGCATTGGCCAGTCTGTTTGATAAAATTTAAGAAAAAGGATAGTTATTCGTGTGTAAAATTCACATGTAAAAAATTTAGTAGAGAGTATTATGATTGCAAACATTAACTAACATTTCGGAATTTTTTAAATATTGAAATCAAATCGGATCACACTGGTAATTTTTTTTCCTCTGAAAAAGGTAAATTACCTCGTTTTTATTGAAACTGACTCTAAATAAAAATTTAATTTCGTTGATAAGTGTATTACTCTCCTTTAATAAAATTACAGCATTACATAGTGTTTTGTTAAATAACAAATGAATGGCAGAAAAGTATCTCAATTTAGAGAAATGTGCTTTAAAAGAACAAATATATGCAGAAAGATAGCATATTACTTTCTTGTACGAAGTAAAAAGGAAGTATTGTAATCGCGAAAAGTTTCAGGCAGCATATTTCAACGAAAATATCCATTTTGACCGCTATCGAATGCAATTTAACGATGTTTCTGCGTGATATCTGTACGTAAGGACAGAATAAAAGACTCGTTTCCTCAAAAAAAATTATAAAACCGCTTTAAAATAAATTCTGACGAGAATTTTTCGTGGCGTCTGTACGAACGTATTACGTACGTACGAACGTAATCTCGCATAAGTCAAAACGAGTAGCCTCAGAACGTGAAATATAGGACTGCTATAACATGTAGATGTGCACCTCGCATTTTGTGCAATCGGCCGCACCAACGTATATAAATATATTTATATATATATATCCTTCTGTTACCGGCTCAGCGATCTCAGTTTCTTTACTCTTATGTTTGTAAATTGTACATTTTTTGCTTTACAAATGATTGAATTATGCTGTTGTTACCTTCCGGTTAAAGTTTTTATGCCTTTAGTAAATCTGTATACAATATTTTTAGAATTATCAACAATTTTAAAGTTGTTTAAGGGCCGCTAAGCCTTTTTTTTATGGCGGCCATTGATTGTTTACATTTGAGACAGCAGACTAGTGGATTTGTTGCGAATCTAGAGAAATTTAGCTTTGCAACAACAAAGATAACGCCATAAGTGTATAAGATTTACTTCGTAATTTTTAATATAGATATTTTGAGTTTTTATGTATTTTTGCCTTCTCGCGAAGTGAGAACTGAATTAATTGAATGAGAAATACTCAATCGTCTGTGAAACCTGTTTCTTTTTTTGTTTTGGTTTGCTTAATTTCTTTTATACATCATTCTAGCTTTATTATAGTATTTGAATAGAACATATGGCAACGATTAGATAATTCTATTCTTTAAATGATATAAATTTTGTGCATTATGAGTTATAATATGAACGAAATATAATACTGTTAAGTGAATCTAAGGCCAGAGTGTCTCTATGGTAAACAAATACTAGAGTGAATTTTAAAGATTGCATTTATTCTATTGTGGTTTGTGCGCTGTCAGCGAAGTAGATTTAATTTAATCCAATAAGTTTAAATGAAACGCAAGAAAAAAATGCATATAATTTAATATTCCGTACAAGGAAGTCATGTGGTGTACACATCAGATTTTTTAAGACTTAAAATTAAACTTTAAACTAAATAATTTCAATATTATAGATTATGCTATCGTAGCTTTAGCCCTTGGGTATTTCATATAGTCTCCAAATCATCGCATTTACTTAAACTGAATTTACTGTATTTCTTGCAGATACTTTTTGGGAACAATGGAAAATCGACCAGGCGAGCGCCATTTGTACTCTGTCCCTGCGAAGAAAACTCGCTTCACAGCCAACATAAAGTGTTTAACTTGCGACGAAGGCTATTTGTGTCTCTACAACAATGCCATCTTCAGTCCAAGCGTTGAGTACTTCGTATTGGAATGCCTCGGTCCAGGAGTTCCGAAGATAGAGATACGTTCCATCTACAACCAGACATTCAGTAAGGCTCTCAAAAAATTTGTATCGGTTAAAGCCCGCGAAATCGATCGGAAGATTCTCGAAAAGAAATTCATATCGATTCATTGATTGCACTTCGGCGTCACTTTTCTGACCTTATTAAGGGCAGATACAAAAAATGGCCTCATGACCTACATTTTTACTTCAATCCGAGAAAGCACAAATGTATCACCAACTGGCATTGCAGTTTCGATTGCGAATCTTTCGGAGTATCATAAAAATTTGATTCTTCTTTCTTTCCTGTAACATATAACATTATCCCACGAAAATGACTAAGATAATATAGGGTACTTTAGAAGACCATGGGGTGTAATCTCTGAAGACTTTAGCAATAAAGAGAAATGGCTGTCATTGGGCTAAACCGTGAAAGGAAAGATAAATACATGTTTGCTTTGCATGGTGGAAATCTATCTCAGGTCAAAGTTTGACGTTCTGTAAATTAAACTAAATGCACTTTTTATTTTTATTACTTGTATTGTTTCTACAGCACTTGAAATGTCTATATTTATGTAACCGTCCGTTTGTGGCAATAATTATTCCGTGATTCCATAAATTGTTATTATCGATTTCTGTCAGCCTTTTTAAAGTTTCTTCCTATAAAATTCAGCTATTATTTTGCGTAAACTTGTTTCTTTATGTGTAATGCCAAATTTCTGTTAATTCATTTTTATGTACCAATGAGTTTTGAGTTCTATCCAAAAATTATTAGTATAATTTATTAAAGAAATAGCAGAATGACGTGTACATCTTGTACAAAAAAATGGAACAATTCTATATCACCAGTTCTATTGGAACGATTGTCAAAATCTAACGCGTTTACCATGTCTCGAAAGCGCCTTTGGATATACTATATTCGATTTATATACAGGGTGATTCAGAATTCATCATCAGTATTTGGTGTGGAGGTAGGGAATAAGAAAAGAAGATTTCACATAGGAAAGTATGGGCACAGACGAATATGGGCGCTGTATGTACACAACTTCCATACATAAGCACAGGTGTTTGAAGAAGAAAAGAAAAATCCCATTCAAGCACACAATCAGAAACCTCAAATTCAATACAGCGAAGCACTTAAAACAACTGGAATCAACCTAAATGAAGCCTTTGCCTGGATATTAGGTCCTAAAATTTAAGAATTGCTAAAATCTATCATCAAGATTATTTAACTTATCAAGAAAGCCAATACTCCATTTGAAAAATTAAAAACTGGGCTTCTAGCTACTCAGAAGATCATAATGTTCGTCGAAAGTAATTAATCACGAAAAGATACACTCCATTTTCATCCGAAATTCAACGTAGCAACCATGGACTTCCTACCTCTTACTTCCTACGTCCATGGTAGCAACCGCAGCGCAGTGGTACTCGTCAAGTAACTTTTTCCTCTTCTTGACATCGCGGGTCGTATCCTCAGCCGCATTTTTGAACTTCTGCTGTCCATGAACTTTTTTCGCAGCATCTTTGCTTCTCCAGTCTTTATTTGCAAGATTCTCATGTCTTCGTTTTTTTCGCCCTCGGGTGAGGTGCGCAAGCACCGCTAATGTTCTTTAATTACTGGCCATAGGCACGATTTAAAACCGACAGGATTAAAACTCTTTTGCAGTCAAGGCCTGTTTTCAACCAAAAAGGTCCGATCCGATCCGTGTGCAGCCAGTCATCATTCGACTAGGTGACTTTGCAGAAGTAACATGAACCGGTATACGTGGAATGAACTTGCAGATATGCATGTAAATACAAGGCATATTCCAGAAGGTGCGGTTGTCCATGCAACGCCGTTAGGAGTCATGCATTCTAGCACATGGTCAGCAGTTCGAGCACCTCTTGTAAGTCTGTAAAACCGATGCAAAGAAATGTTACATGTAAGATAATAAATGTCTTTACCTTACTACTTCCTTTTTATGTGTTCTTTCCATCATTCCACTGGGGTCGTTTGGCCCTACTACATCGCATATGCGCCCATGCATTCCTACGTAAAATCTCCTTCTTTTCCTATTCCCTACCTCCCCACCAAATATTGATGATGAATTCTGAATCACCCTGCATAGCATTGTTCTAACATAGGTAGTTTGACACAAAATCGGACTTTTTCTTAATAACATGCCAATGTTTTTCCACATTTTGATTCTACGACTCATTATGCCAATGTTCCAAGTTTTGTAAAAATCGCACAAGTAGTTTTTAAAAAATTAGCTCTAAAAATTTTAGCTCCTCCATGTTAATTGAATTTGGTATATATTTATTAATATCTCTTTTTTATTAAACTTATTTCCTTTTTCTTTTCACATTCCGAAATTTAGGTTCAATCCAAATCAAATTCCCCATTTTTATGATTTTTTTTAATTTGTATTTTTAAATCATTTTTATAAATTTTTGCGAAAACAATTTTGAAATTTTTGCAATCATCTTAAAGTAGATGTATTTTTAAGCATACATGCTAAAAATTAGCGTTTTTTATTCAAAATTTCCTAAGATATACGTGAATTTACATATTGCCACGTTTCGAAATTTAGTATATTTGTTATAAGCGATAATAACGCCAAATGTGTTTTACACACTTTGCTAAAATTATTTGAAAGTATGAACGATGATGTTTTTTCCGCTCGTACATAATGAAAAAAGGTAGAAAAGTAGGTTGTTGTAAATTAAGAAGTTCGCCAAAAGAATTATACTTGGCGCAAACTGGAAAAAATGCGCCAAGATAAATTTTTAAATTTCTCACCAAATATTACAAAATTTAATGTCTGGATATAATTTGAGTCGTAAAATCGAAATACGAAAAAAAATTGGTATGTTATTGCAGAGAAAGTCCGATTTTGTGTCAAAATATCTATGTTAGAACAATTGCTATATGTAAATCTAACATATATCCTAAGTTGCGCTTTTCAGACATGAAAAATGCAAGTTAAATTTCGGCAATCGGTCCAGTTGAACGGGAGATATAGTACTGCCCACCAGCTTTTTTTTTTTTTTTTTTTTTTTTTTTTTTTTTTTGTGCAAGGTCTACATCTATGTCCGTTATGTGCCACGCGATTTCAAAAACACTAAAATTCTAGTCGAAAATACTTTAAAACAGAAATTTCAGTACAGAACAGAAACAGAAATTTCAGCAAACATGCCTTCTGATCGGTTAATTTGTGTCATGCATAAAAATATATTCTTTTAATCGATTACAAAACCTTCGATCTGATAATTCCTACGGTGTGGCCATAAGTAAACTGACAGTGTTCACAGTGTTCTGTAGCGCGATCTATTTGCGAGAATGACGCCACATTTTGTAGGAAGATTAAACAAGACGGGGGACGAAGGATTCTGCGAAAAAAATTAGTTCCACAAGTCACCGCTAGGGGAATATTTGGCGCTGTGTAATAGAAAATAGAGTGTTAAGAAATGCAAATTAATACGGAATAAAATTACCTTTATGGATATGCCTTATGTAATATGAATATGCCTTACAGTACGGTATGGAAAATCTGACGAAAGATTATCAACTTCTATCCGTACAAGATCAGCCGTGCACAGGAGTTACTGTACCCCGACCATGATAAGCGATTGACTTTTGCTCTCACCTTTCTTGCCAGAATGGACGTGGATGATGCTTGGCCGTGGAAAATCTTATGGGACGACGAGGCCCACTTTTACCTGAATGGAACTGTGAATACCCAGAACTGCCGAATTTGGGATGACAAATCACCACATGCACTCACAGCAATTCCCTTACATTCACCAAAGGTAACTATTTGGTGTGGGTTCACAGCGGAATTTATCGCAGGTCCATTCTTCTACGAGAACTTTACCCCGACAGAACTGGAAACCTGTTCTGTTACCGGAGAGAAATATCGCCACATGTTGAACAGCTTTGTCATTCCAGCACTTCAGCAAAGACAATGCCTGGGGGAAATCATTTTCGTGCATTCCACACGTCGCTGTACGGGTGAAACAGATGCTACGACAGAAATTCACTATGGAAAGAGTAATTAGCCGCTACTTTCTAACTGCATGGCGACCTCGGTCGCCTGATTTTACGCCATGCGACTTCTGGCTATGGGGTTACCTTAAGTCTAAGGCCTATTAAGAGTGGTCCAGGACCTGGCTACGTTGAAGGATAACATATCACGGACTGTACGGGAGATTCCTGCAGACATGTTACTTTCTGCTGTTGGTCATACTGTGCACAGAATGCAATATGTAGTCCACAACAACGGCAGCCACATTGAACCTCATTTGAATGCAAAATATAAGGTAATTTCCGTAGTGATTTGCATTTATTAACACTCTATTTTCTATTACATAGCGCCAAATATTCCCCTAGCGGAGACTTTTGGAACTAATTTTTTTTTTCGCGGAATCCTTCGTCCCCCGTCTTGTTTAATCTTCGTACAAAATGTGGCGTCATTCTCGCAAATATATCGCGCTACAGAACACTGTGAGCACTGTCAGTTTAATTATGGCTACCCGTTATATACATGCATAGATATCTCATTATTTACATTATAATTTTAATAATAAAATTTCGAATCCCCCTTTCAAATACTTTGCAACTACACATTTAATTGTGGTAATTTATAATTAAGTGTTCTGACTTTTATTATTTTATTTTACAATGGCACTGTAGATTATATTTTGAATTACCTTATTTTAATGAATATATTCAAACTTTAACAATATGCATTTGCTTTTGTTTTCCGAATTAAATTGTGCAGTTCTTTTACACAATAAGAAATATAATTCCCGTCGAGTATTCGTTATCTTCCTTCGGACGTTGCTTAAGAACACATTTTCTTTCCGTTTTAAACCTAAATCTTAGATGATTGGTGATTATTGAGCATGTGACTATTAAGCATCGCTTAGCAATTATTTTCTTTTGCGAGACAAAACTTGAATATTAGATAACATGCATATATATAAATTTTTCTTCTTCTTCTCTGTTTCGACAAAACTAGATTAAAGTATTTTTATACTATTTCAGCGACTATGTACTTTATAGAA